GGAGTGGGAATAGAGAGGTCTGGAGCCCCATTTTTCATCAGGACCAATTTAGTAATTCTTTCAAAACTGAGCAGAAACTGGAGAACAGGGCAAACCTTGTGATGTTTTCATCTATGACATAAAATATACCAAATATATCTGTGTCTTTCAAACAATCATAAAACGCGTCTAAAACACATGAAATAGTGTTCCACAGAAAATTTTCCAGGGGACCATGCCTCGGGACCTCCTAGTTGTTCTGTACATTCAACGATTCTTGGTATTGGCAGTAGTAGTATAGGGAAGGGGGGTTCTACGTCCGGCGGAGCGCCTTGTTCCGCCCATGACGTCATAAGTCATTTAATTTATTCTAACGCACTTTAATTTATTTAAGCTCAACGAACCAGAAAGGACACTCCTTGATCAGGGCGCTTATATATAATCTGTGGCCCACTATATGTATCGTATTTATTATTTATCACGTTCTATATTCGAGATTTATACAATAAATGTTTCATGACTATTCCTATACATGAATGAATGATGACAGAAAAATACATATTCAATACTCGTTGAATCGTTTACCATTAATGTAAGTAAATCCACAACTGAAACGTATTTTTTCCAGTTAAGTTTTGAAGGTTTTTGACCGGTGGACAGCAGTCTTGTTATCACTGAAATGTTGTCTAAATTTGTCGATTATCTCCGTTATCAGCGAAGACGATAATTTCAAACTTCACTGTGTTTAAAACCGGTGCAAGTTAATCATCTAAACAAAAACTAACAATTGAAAAAGTATGAACTAGACAATAATGCAGAAAGAAAATGATTTTCAGTTGTAAGCCAAAAAGATTTTGAAAGTTAGAAAAAAATCTCCTCTTAGCTAATTTTTAAAAGCAAGTTTAAGCTATTGAATATCAGAAAAATTCGCTTGACTGCGTTTCGTTGCTCTGCCTATTGTTTTGTCTATTTCAAAAATGGGAATTGAACGTTTCATTTGATACAGTTGCAGGTGGACTAATTCACTAAATCCGGTTATTGACTTTGCTCTTCTGGTGAAACGAATTAAAAAATTTAGATATATGGAAACTTTTGAAAACGCCTCAAAAAAATACCAATTCAAATTCTATTTCACCGAACGCAAATATAATCTAAATCATTTGAAAAATATTCTTTCATTAGAAAACCATAATTTCATGACTGCATGGGGAGAAACTCCAACAAAGACATGAAGTATTACTTCATAGCGCTTAATTTTTTGCACAAAAGATGCGTTATCCATGTAAAAAGCCCGTACAGGAACAACGAAAACCAACTCAATCATAAAATTACTAAATATGGGCACCATAAATAAAGTTAATAAAGAAGTCATCTGTAAAGATGATATAAAGTTAAATCACATAAAAGCAGGTGATACTTTCGAGAGCTTTTAGTCTATGGTATGACTAGACCTTATTTCCGGGCAATCTTCCTCGATTTAAGATTTGCAGATCTTTGTTGAGGATTCAAACATGGCGAAGAAGATCGAAGTTATCATGGCCACTTTCTTCATTGCTACATGTATTTCGTTTTGCTTTGCCAAGTCCACAATCGACCTGCCTGATGAAACTCCACCTCCCCCACGCCCGCCAGCACCCTTACCTACAGCTAAAGTCGGAAAAAGACTGGACAAAGTTGCAACGCTGCTTGGAACAGTGAACGCAGCAATGGGTTCATTCTCGAGATCAAAGACCGTGAAAACAGTTTCTCAATCTATGAGAGGAGATAACGACGCCGAATTACAAGAAGGATTGGATCAGGCTATAACTACACTTGCTGTCTTGGATGTTGGCGGTGGAATCGTTTCGCCTGTGGCAGCTCATCTTGTCCAATCAATCGCAACTGTAGATGCTTTGTCAAACACAAAAAAGGCACTGGAAAAATTCGGTAACACACTTCCACAATTTGCTCATGAATTGGACGATCTAAGTGATGACGTGATCAAAACAAGACTTAATCAAATGAAGCAAGTGGTTTTGGACACATTTAAAACCGACGTTCGGCAGATGAGAAAAAGTGATCCGAGCACTTTGAAATATATCAAGAAAGCAAAGAGATTGTTGAAGGTAAAAAGGCTTGCAAGTGTCCTTGGGCCAATTTTTGATATTGTTGCTGTCGGTGTAAATTCTTGGGCATTGCACACAACGTTACGTGACTGCCGTCAAGATCCTACAATGTGTAACCATGGCGCCATCGCTTCAGCCTCGTTCAGCATTGCTGCAGGGTTCGTTGGTCTGGGAACATTTGTCGCCGTCTTCAAGATGACTGCAGCAGCAGCAGTTGTCGCAGGCCCTGCTGGAGCAATCGTTGCTGCACTGCTTGGAATAACAGCAACTTGCATCGAACTTTGGTACACACCGCCGTCCGTGCGAATAGCAAGTGAAAACACGTTGAAGGAAGCTGCTATGAAAGAGTTGGACACGTATGCAAAAGAAGAACTGTATAACGCCACCACAAAGTACACCAAGAATGATTTGTATGTTGTCAACCAAGGCCATCTACCAAAATGGTTCACTTATGACCCACCAAAAAATTCAGTCCAATTTGGTTTGGATAGAGACGAACCACGTAGATATTCTCCAAAAGTTGGTAAGTGTTCTCGTCCGCACTGGGGAGAAGCCAAACGTCCTGGTCCTACCGGTAAAAGTCTATCACTTTACAAAGTTTGTCCCTATCTGGTTGATGGCAACGAATTCATATCAACCAAGGATATTTCATCATTTCCTTCATATCTCACAGACAATCGCGGTTTAGGCTATGATTTCTATGGATTGGCGAAAGATTATCAAGAGTATAAAAATGGGGAAGGTCGACCAGATAATGAATCACCGTACAATGGGGCGACGGTGCTCGTTTCAACAAATAAGGTTCAGCCAGCTGAGTTGGAAAACAGGGAACTGAGTGCAAATTTGAGAGGACTGGATATAAACACGGGAAGAAAAGGAGGAGGTGAACCATTCGACGATCTGGTAGCAATAGGAGATATGCCGTCGCTTGACGCTAGTGAGAAAGTGATTGTTCGTACAGGAAAAGGAAATGACGCGCTGAACATTGATGGACGACTCGGACCATTTACATCGGCTGGTGTGCTTGATGCAGATTTAGGAGAAGAGGGACAGAACACTCTGAATTTTGGTGCAATTCCTTCAGGTTACGGAATCGAGGGAATACGCTTTGATGCAAAAACGGGCGTGGTCCAGTACAAATATGGCTCAGGTCAACCGCAAAATGTTGGTAAAGTGATGCATGTTCAAATTCTTGAGGCGTCGTCATTTCATGATGAAATCACGCTTCATTCAAACAGGCCTGACCGAGAAGGCTTTACGGTATTCAAGTTCAATGGACTGGCTACATACACGATTGACATATCATCGCTAACTACCAAAGACGATACTAGGTATTTCACGATAATCGACAGCTCGTCACCTTTGCGTAGCGATGAAGGTCGCGTTCCTGTTCTAAAGCTGGTTAATTTTGGAGAAAACGCAAAGGCAAATGATATTCAATACCGAGAGGAAGGTATATTCGTTTATGGAGAACGTACTAAAGAATCTCGTGACGTCGAAGATGAAGGCAAATCAAGTGAGCGCCGAGTTATTGCGAATGAAGGAGAATGCGATGGGGAAACGGGTGGAAATCCAACTATGGGTTCCAACGATAAGAAACTTTTGGCAATTATAAAACTGACCCATAAGCGTCTGATCAAGATAGAAGCAAAAGGCAGCAATGGGATATGCGTAATGAAACGGCGCAAACAACAGGAATTAGATACACAGTTCTTTCCAGGCAAAAGACTGCATGTAGATTTCAGCGAGCGAAATTATGACGGCAGCGAGGACGATGATTATGCCCTCTTGAAATGTCCTTTAAGTACGGTCGATGAGCCAACGACGATCAACCTGAGAGATGGCAAAAGTGACTACCTTGTCATTGGAGAGCACCTGTTCACGGATCCGTGTGACATCGCCCGTATGAAATTGGTCAGACATAAAACTTTAGAGGACGCATGGAACTTGGTATTGGCAGGACCGGATCTCAAAAATATTACAGGAAAAGCTCGTACAATCACATTGATAGGAGTCGAGAAGATCTTGAATGAACATGGGGATATTGTAATAGACCTCCAAAACAGTCCAACACACAACCTGAATGGAAAATACACAGATGTATCGAGGAATGATATGCGAAAATGGGCTGAGACATCACGCACGAAAGAGATTAAAGATAACATGATGACCTGTATAGACGGAACTGGAGATTTATCACTAGAAGAAAGAGAGGAGCTTTGTAGCCAAGGAGATGAGGATGAAGATGAGAATGATGAAGAAACACCAGAAGTACAGTAGTTTGCATAATGGACTTCAAGTGAACCTTGATGTTGTAGTATTATATGTGACAGATGATAGTTTATACTTTATCGTCAAATTGCATTATTTAGTCCATATTTAGTTATTATAAAACATTTCCCGTGCTTATATGTATATTAACTGTATATCAACACGGAAAATGAGTGGAAGTTGAGAAAACGAGAAATTGTGTAGAAACACGATGCTCGAAGACGAAGGGCTGAGTGTTTTCACACTATTCCGAGTTTTCACAACTTTCACAAGTGTATATCAACACAGGAAAATCTTATATAATTCTTTTATAACATAGTACTAGAGAATAAGTAAAACATGTGGGAAATTTGGGGATACGGGGATTACGTTTGGGGATTACAGTTTTTATTAATTTGGGGATTAGGGTATCGTTATGATTAGCCAGTATTCATCATTCATTTGCACCATTCTTCTTGAAAAACTGTCGGAAACTATGCAGCTTAGGGGGATGACATATCACGTGTATTTTAGGTGCTTTAACTTTAGTGATTGGGGTTTTATTTTATAACTTTGTAGTTGTTGGTGTTGGGTGTAAAACTATTTTAAAAACGTATGAGTTTGTGACTCGTGATTTGTATGGAAAAGCCATATTACCCAAAAGCCATTAGCCATTCTCTACATTTTACAGATTGTGTTAAATGCACATGACATTGTTACCTATGTCACACAAGCATTACAGTGAACTTTAGTGTATATGTAGATAAAAGTTGTAGATAAACAAACTGCAGTGGTCCAAAAGCAAGGCGCTCCGCCCGACATAGAACCCCTCTTCCCTATACTACTATTGGCTACAACCTGTGTTCTGGGCTTAGATTCCTGCAGAAATTGCATTTGTTTCTGGTGCATGTGAAAATAGATTTTTCTGCAGTCAAACTGGACCAACATTAATTATTAAAGCAATACCGGTATACTTTACTGAATCGCTACAGATCGATCAGTTTAAAACTAAAAGTGAAGCTATTCAGTATGAAGTTACTTAGTTTGGTTATCATAAATCATACACCACAAATAATAATATATTTCATTACCCCAAGTATTCCAGTTCTCTCACAAAGGATCCATCCTACCATCCAATCAATATCACTACGATGGTTTGGTAAAGCCAAGGCATGTTCCTTGCCAATCAGTTCATAATCTTCCTTCTTGCCATAAAACTTTATATCAAGTTGTCCCCACCATTCACCAACAAATGTTAACACTAAGAATAAGACGAGGACCCAGTTAGCAGATGACTAAAAGGTGCTTATACCAAGTAAACTAAAGTTGGAAGGAAGTTAAAGTTGGAAATTGCATTTCCAAAGAAATTCCTATAGGAATAGTCTATTTAGTAAAATTCCTATAGGATCTCCTATAGGAATTTGAATAAGGGAATTGTCCCTCACTCATCCAGAGTTACTACTGTATACAGGACTAGATGGCTCCAACAGTTCTGAATCGCTATCCTGAGAGGAGCAGCAAGTGTCATCTCTTATTGCAAGTGCTAACACAGGAGGAAAATGCAACCAAGTTGTACCACTGTGCTGTGAATGCCAGAGCCCAACAATGCAAATTAACAATATAGAATCTTTTACGTACTTGCCCAGTGTGAGTAACACAACACAGCATTAACACGTCTGAAAACATTGTGTGAAATATACCACAGTGGCAATAGAAGTATTTGAATGGAATTCACAATGAGACCACTTAGAAAAAACACTGTGACAAGCCAGATCCAAACAAGCCAGGATCTTTTGAAACTTTTTAATGAAGACATAACCCTGAATCTCTCTGCTAGAAAACTGAAAATAAACAACATTGTCACCATGTATTGTATGCATAATTAATTTCCTCAATTGTGAAGTTTAAATTAGCTTCTAATACGGATTGAAGTGTGCATCTTTTCTAGAACAACCCATTTGCTTGTCTGTGCACACAAAACAATAACTTGGAATCGAGGCGGCCAGCCGATTTTCCACAATGCAGAATTTTGCATGTGGAGAAGAAAGCATTTATCTTGGGATTTCATGGGTGGAAAAATTCCACTCTGTGAGCAAAATTCCAATTAGTGGAAAACCGACTTATGACCTTGACATGTTAACAATTAATACTACCATTTGCAAGCAACCGCAAAATCCAAACTTTTTTTCACGTTTCAAACGTACACGATGGGCGGGTCAAACATGCATGTTGAAACGTAACAACATTTAGTTTGAACCGCGAAATAGTGACGTCTGGGCGAGATTTGTCAAACATAACTATTTCGCTGTTCAAACTAATTGTTGTTACATTTCAACATGCATGTTTGACCCGCCCATCGTGTACGTTTGAAACGTAAACAAACATGAAAAAAGTTTGGGTAGTATTATATCTTTTATATCGCCATGCAAACCTACAAAGAACTTATGTTAACAACTGTCACAAGCAAATGGAAACCAGGTGACAGCCATGGTGCAACTCCTGGTCAACCAAATGGCAGTTACAGTATCAGAAGAGAACATATCAAGTCAGCCATCATTTGTTGCAGCACTGCTGACTCAAACACACCAATTGGTTACTGTTATAAAGCGAATAGGTGCTTGTCAAGAGCTAGATGTGGGGACAGACAGAAGAAAATGTATACATTGCAACACGTTATTAGAAATTTTTCTCAAAGCAGAAATAATTATTTTTTACACTCTGCCCTAATAAAAAATACATAAAAAATAGCAAATACATACCAAAAGCTTGAACTTTTAATGGAAATTACAGGTAATACCAGAACACAACAACACACGATTTCCTCCGCAGTCCAAAAGTCCAATCACTCACATGCCCTCAAACCCCGCCGGCAAAATTAGTAGACATAAGACAGACGGCTGTCAAAAATCTATACCTTGCAGAGCACAGTTTTAAAAATTGTAGCAGCTACAAATAACTTTCTATTCTTTTATAGAACGATGTATTTTCAAACAAAAGCCACGCGCGGTACAAGTTCATTCTGTAAAAACAAAAATTTTAAATATGCATGTTGAATTGTTGCGCAATATTTGCGAGGGGGACATTCAAAGACTGGGAACGAGCTTGAAAATGATGGTCAAGACTCTAGTGAAAAAGAAACGTATAAAGATCAGTGTTTTAATATACCGTCGTTGGCAGCGAACGATGAAAAGTCCCAAATCAAAATATCAGCCAACCTCTGAAACCTTCAAATGCTTGTTACAAACAAGAGAATAGAAAATGTTTCAAGAAAACGACAGTAATACACTTTAATTGCTGAGATCTACAAAATTTTCATTAACATCCAATCATATTCAAGGATATGCATGACATCATTAGTTGTGTATTTCA